ATTACGTTTTCTTTTTAAACCTAAATTACTAGTCTTTTAGAGAAAAAACCCGGACCCAAAATCGAAAAAATTTAGGAAAATAAAAAGTACATCACTGTTATTATATTTGAAATACTGTACATTATAGCTGTATGCAGCAGAATAATTTGCTGATCATCTGTTTGACCTTCTAAGTTACTGGTACAGTTAGTTATGATCCTTCTCTTATGTGTTTGTTTCTCATTTAGGGAAGTTTTAAATAATGTATTTCTCTGTTGCGCTTTTTTCCATGTAAAAGAGATTTGTGATATTTGGAAAACCACAGAGAACCCTTTGAAGGATTACTTAGCCAAGATTTATTTTTTTATGATTATTCTCAAACATATAAAGCATAATGAAAAACGTTTTACACAATTTTTTAGCAGTAACTTCCAATTGAATACACTTTTAACCCGGAAGAGGTCGCGCGGGGCACACAGATCACGAAATCGTTAATTCTGGCAAAACTGTTTATTTGTTACCAAAGAAAAATCGAAAAGTCCTCGAAAGTAGGTAAGTATACTTTCTCTTAGTTAAATTATTCACTGGAATCACGATTTGTATCGTGTACAATAAAAATAATTATTTTTAAAAAAATGATTGGAGTGATTCAATCATCCCGCGTGACCATTAACGTTTGTATAAAATGTGTGCCTGCTCCCGGGATAAAACATTTTGAAGTCTTCTCGCTTTAAATATTAAAAATAACGCAATTATTCTTCATCGGAATTTTTTTTTTCATTATTTAACATTAATTCTAAATGCTCATTCTGTGAGGCTTAAAATTACAGTTCGCTTAAAACTAATTATAACATGAGTATTCATTTTAAAATATCATTTTTCATTTTGGTAAACATTGTCGCGCATTTGGGTTTACTCTCCTGACAATTCAGCTATTATATCAAGAATGTTTTAGTTTTTTTAAAAAATGCGAAGAGTGGGTACTTCAGATAGTATACTTTTAATGTATCAGTGATGCACAAGGTATTTTATAACTAATTTATTAATACTAAATTAAAAGCAAGTTTAATAAGTTTTAACGACTTCCATGGGCTTATCTTGCAGAGGAAAGTTTTTCAAAGGATGGCTTACGATTAAAAATTAACACTCTCAGTACTTCTTCTATATTTGGCTGAGATCTATATTTTGTCTTCAAAGCAGCCACCACATTTTACAATCTGTTCTAATTTAAAAATTCGAGGAAGAAAAATAAAATATATATTACTTAAAAGTAACATATATAAAATTTAATATACTTATCTTATTGATTTTTACGGTTTATAATTAAGATCCTATTGTAGCTTTAGCGTCAAAGTGCATTATTATTGCATTCAATGCATTATTATTGCATAAGGGGGGGCGGGATAAAAATTATGATTGAAAAGTGGGTCACCAGTATTGAAAGTTTGAGAAGCACTGGTTAAAGATAGAATAAATTGAAATGTCCAGAAATACTTTATAAATAGAGAGAAAAAATATTGAATTACAAAAGAGAAAAGTTCGTTATATAGAAAATGCACTTCGCTATAGAGAGGTTATTTTACTAAGAAAATCGTTAAAAAAATGTTCTTGTTTCTAAGAAAAAGTTCACAATAAAAAAATTCGCAATGTAGAGGTCAGCTGTATATATATTAGCCATTATCCATTCGTTTCACCGGGTTGTTTGACTATTTATTGTTTTTAAGTTATTGACATCGGTCCGAGAATTAACTCATCGACTGTATGCTCAAAGTCTTTGCCTCTTGATTCTAAATGGACAGGGCTTGAATTTATAAAGCGGAACTATATTTATCATTTACACTCTCTCACCTACCTTAGTTGTCAACTTCCGTAAAACTCATTTTTAGAGGATCTCTACTCAACACAACAAACATGCTTTTTACATCTGAAAAGTCTGTTGGTCTAATAGTTCCAATACGGGAACTTTTTAACCTATACGCTTCGGTAATCCTCCCCCCTCCCAGTGAGTAGATATCTATAAAACCCTTTCTTAACGGATCTCTGCTTAACCGAAATTACAGGCTTTCCAAAGATTGTCTATAGATTTAATAATTCTAAAACGGATTTTTTTCTCTAATGTACCTCAGCATCTCGTCCTTAGGGATTAACATTCTGGAATACCCATTCTTAGACGATCTCTACTCAATAAAAGAAACATGCTCCCAGATTTCAAGACTTTTGGTCTGATAATTCAAAAACGGGAATTTTTTTCTACAACATCCCCGCACACTACTTTGGGAGCCATTTCCCACAAAAGAAACAAAAGAAACTTAACAAAAAAAAAAACTCTACTTAACAAAAGAAACAAGCCTACCAATTTTCAAATCAATAGGTTTAATAATTCCGGAGATCTCGCGGTGAGAGTCGCTTTTCTCCTACATAGATAGAGTGATTGAGTGAATTTATATCGCTTTTCTCTTACATATAGAGACAGATGAATCATTTATAACTCAATTTTTAATTCAGAAAATAAGTATAATAAACATCAAAAAAGCATTTGTTTTGTTCTACTTATCATTTTTCAATATTACTATTTTTTGTATCAGTAATTAAAGGCTATGCACATCAGATTCATTCTTATGTACAAATTTTATTTACTTGATATTCTAATGTAACATAAATAATTTTTGCTGTTGGTAAAATGCTCAATAAAAAAAATTCTAATTTTGAAACTAAATTATGTTATAGTAGGGTTTGCTCCATGCAATGTCTATAAATTTGTAAAAATACCACGTAGTATTTTGGGGAAATTTATAGCAGAATTCTCTTAAATTGAATTATTATTTTGTTGTTACCAAGAACTAGTTCATCATTTTGTTTTAGACTGAATTATAATCCAAACGAAATAAAAAATAAAGTTGAAAAAAGAAACGAGTCTTACAGTAGTCGCATATGATGTGTAACATCTGACATGTTATCGTGGTAAATATGCAATATTAACTTTTTCCTGAAAAAAAATATGAATCGGGTATGATCGGAAATAATTTTCTATCGAATAATTATATCTTTAATGAAAATCGTATCACATAAATAATTATTTTTGTTCAATTTGAGGAAGAGCAGAGACAATAGACTTATGATAACTAAAATATGACACATATACTTGTGATTTCAAAGTATTTAAAAACCGTTGAAAAACAGCGTCAATAACAGTACCACTGTTAGCAGTCGAAACATTTTGATTTGTGTTCATTTCTTGCTTGACTTCATTCATAAAAGCTATGAGCGGCTCAACTTTTGGCAAACTGAAATTAAAGTTAAAATCAGGGGAAGCGAGTGATAATTTTTTTAAAAGACCAGAACCACCCTTATTATATGGTAAAAGTACAAAATGCAGGAAATCTTTAATTTGTTTTAACCGTTTGATTCGAAGAAATGTATACGACCACCGAAATCACTGTTCGTCCATTTTCAAATAAGCATTCTGCCGCACTTATGTCCCCCAATATCGTGACTAACGAATTTAGAGTCAAGAGCTCGAGTACTTGATGACTACTAGAGTTGGACCCCCATGCGAGGGTAGCGAAAAGACACAGCCACGCACTCTCATTGGTCAAATCAAGTAGCGCGTGTTTACGTCAAATCCTGTTACACACATCCGTCCCTTTTCACGAAATCACTCCCACAAATATCCAACAACCGAGATGAAAGATGTTACACATAAAGAAAATAAATACAAAAATTTTATTCTGTTTTGATTAATCCTTTAAATTATTTCCTTTTCCATTTTCTGGATTTTTTATGGTATCTTTACATTATAAATAATAGCTTTTAAGTATATTGCTAAAATAATCGGTAAATGACACCAGGAATCAATGTCAGGAAAGTTAAAATTATCGTTTAAACTTTCCGTTTAAATGATAATTTACTCCATTTAATTTATGAATTTTTTTTCACAATTTTTCAATTCCTACTATTAGTTCGCTCTCACCCTATGTTTATTCATTTACACACACAGAGACACAGACACACACAGACACACACAAACACAGACACACACAGACACACACAAACACAGACACACACAGACACAGACACACGCACACACACACACACATCTTGTTCAAATATTCAATCGTTAATAAAATACTTTATATTCATCCATTAAAGTTTAAATACGTTTTTTAAAACTTGTAGTCAATGACACTTGTTAGTACAGTTTTTTCAAATATCACTTCATTAATTAAGGTATCCGACTACCCTAAAACCATGATTTTTTTCAAAAATTGGCAAATTTTTTTATGACTTTAATTTTGTAGACCATTTTATTAACTTAATAACAATACCAACTACTTTATTTTCCCTCCACTAGAACAAAAACTATAAGCGTTTTAGTAAAAGCAAATGCCGTAACTTTACACAAGATATCAAACTTTAAAATGCGTTTTACTCGAAATGTGTTTTTTTCGAAAAACTCAAACGGGGACCACGATTGCTCAAAAAAGTTTTGAAAATAATTAGATGAAATTTTTTTCTTATGTTCTGCATAACAGTAGAAGTGTTTTGATCTTCAGATTTATCAATAACTGTTTTATTTGGAAATTTGCAGTTCTTTATGTGAATATAGTCAATGTTTTTTTAAGCAATTTCGTATAATGACTTAGATAAAGTGCTCTAGTTTTTGTAAAAATTAAAATATCTCTTATCGTGAAGGTCACTTCAAACAGGAATAACAAAGTAACACATCAAAATTGAAAAATTGAGAATTTGTTCATAAAATCTTTGTACAGAGTGGGCCCCGTTTATGTAGTTTTTCCCATTTTAATAATAATGATTTTTTTTCTTTTACCAATTTTAGGATTTTTTCCTTAAAATATACTAAATAAATATAAAAATCACAAAAAAAAATCTCCATATCTCCTTTTCTTCAAAAAAAAAAGTTGTCGCAAGTAGTCGGATACCTTAAATTAAAAAATGAATAAATAGTAACAAACAAAAATAATAGTCCAACAGCAAATGTAGAAAGGAAAATTGTTCATTGTGTCTCTGTAGCGCAATGGAGAGCGCGTTGGACTTATAATCCAAAGGTCGTTGCTCGAAACCCACCTGGGATGGAATAATTTCTGAGAACGTGATTTCTTTTTTACTATACAATTTTATTAGAGTAATTAAATTTAATTAATGAATAAATAGTAACAAACAAACAAAAAATAGTCGAACATGGTGTATAGAAAAGAAAATGGAGAATTGCTAGAAAATCTTTTTCCACTTTGTCACTTAATAGTGTGATTCTGTCATAGGTAAATACATTTTTGTGTATTAATTGTAATTATTTAACAAAAAGTAACTAAAATAAAATTTTTATTTGTCGACCTAAGTAGGAATTGGTTTAATTTTTTTTTAATATTACTTGTTATTATGAAGTGCAAATCACTAACAATTATGAATTATGAAATATAACGGATTCCTTTATAATATAACGTTTCCTGACAACCAAAAATCATCATATAATACATTCCACAAAAAATGCGTAGCAATACATGAACGGCAAGAAATTAATATTGCACGTAAAGCAAACTGCATATTTACTATAACATAATTTTTTTTTGTAGTTCAGTAACCCTCAAACCCAAAGTAACGTGATAACATATTATTCGATAGAAACTAATCCGATGTCGCGACATTTTTCTTGTCGTAGACATTTTTCATCAAGTCACAAAAAGATAAAAACTTTTCTTTCCTCGCAAAATCTAGTTTCTTTCAATGTCGTGCAGTATGGGGGTAAAAAGTTTCAGAATTCCGAACTCATATGAAAAGAGCGCCCTGAAGAAAAAGGCGAAAAGCCCGGAAAAAAATTCGAAAGTCATCAAAAAGTCGAAGAACCGCAAGGGATTCTGGGTCAGGTACATAGAAAATCCCTTTACTTTCAATCCTTGCCTTTTGCCGTTGAGTCATGTTCTGTAGTAATGCGTTTGTCTATGTTGGTGAGGTGAGTATATATTGCAATGTTTAAATTTAATTTAAGCCTTATTTAAAAAACAGTTTATTGCTTACAAAATAGAATTTTTTTAAAAAATATAAATTAAAGCTTATTACACGCATTATTAATATCGAAGCTGATAAAATGTTTTTCATACTTAGAAAATGAAAGTAACGATATTTAAATGAAAATGATAAATAGAACAAAGGTATTTATTTTATCATCATACATTGCAATTTTAAAAATATAAAACATGGAATTGAAATCATTGATTAAAAAAATTAAGTTAACTTCTATACAAATTAATGCTTGATAAGTTTTTTTTTACAAAAATTTCAGAAAATTAGGCATTAAAAAATAACTTTTGTTTTTTGGTAGAATTATAAGAGTGATTTTTCAGTAAGTTATTTTAGAATATTAATCTAGAAATTAATTACATGGTTTCAACTGTTAATTGACTACATATTAATTAAAAATTATTTTGCAGATTTTTATTATTTTATTTTAATACTTCAAATATTTAAAAAAATTTTCGCTTTGCCTAAAATCATGCAATTTCGTTTAGTTTTTGAGAAACTATACATCAAATGTACTCCAACATTATTTACGGAATGTATTTAAGTATTATAGTTATCAGAAATTTTCTATAATTCAAGCAATATTTGGAGAAAGATTTCATTAAAAAAAATATCCTTTAAAAATATTTATATTAAAAATATAGTTACACAAAAAATTCTAAAATTATAGTTCTTTAATAATTCTCGAGAGAAATCTTTTTGATAACTTGAGGCTATTAGAAAATTTCACTAGTTTTCGTATTAATGAAAGTCAGTGAATGATTCGTATCAAATTTGATTAAATTATAATTCCAGACTAAAACGAAAGTAATTCTCAATAGTTTAGGTAGAATCTCTCTTAATAATCTCTCTCTCTCTTTTTAAATATTTGTTTGTATTATTAGTATTGAGGAATTGTAGTTTAAATGCAATAAATACATTTATACTCAAAAAGAATGAAAATTTCAAATGTTAAATCTTACTTTGTAATCGAAATAAAGCATTGATTCCAATTAAGTGAAATTTTTTGGTTAAATAAATTCTATATTTTATAGAGTTTTAAAATTTTATAATATCTAAAAATTTTCGTCTGCTCTTTCTGAGCAATTATTTTACCAAGGAGGGAACGAGATTTCTAAATAATATTTCTGAAGAAATCTTCAAGGGATGAAAAAATAATTAAGAATTTAAAACATTTCCAGAACATAAATAACCTAACTGAAAATAAATTATATTTTCTTATTGTATTTATAGCTGAATATTAAATGCAGTGTATGAAGATCTAAAAAGATATGTGAAAACTGCAACCTTCTAAAATTATGCAGGCAATGAAACTATTTTTTTTGCATTTAAATATACATATATTAAGAAACCTTCTCAATGGAAATATTGACGTTTTATGTATTATTTCGAGTATTTGCACTCTAACCTTTTTTTAAATGAAATTAATAAGACTTTAACTTTGTACTTTTATTAAAATGTATTCAAAATCTGAAAAATCCTTGTTTATATTTTCAATTGATACGACAAGGAGAAGGCCAATTATAAATACTTTTTAATAAAAAAGTTGGATTCATAAAATTTATATAAATCTCATTTGAAATGAAAAACTAAAATTCTTATTTTTAAGTGAAAAATTTGAGATATTTACTAAATTTAAAGGTACAATTTGGCTAAATGTTTAAAATTTTGTTTTTAACAGAAAAAAATGGTCTGAAACAAGATTTCTACAGGGTATAAACGTCTTCGAAAATTTTAACATTATAATTCGAGTTGATTGTATACTTTATAATTAAAACATTATCTCGAAAAATAGTAGTTTCTTTATCAAATTCAAAATTTCGATTGAGTTCTATAAAAATTATTTGGCGCATTTGTTAATGAAAAATCTTTCATAACTGATACACTTCATTCTTAAATATAAAGAAGGAATTTTATGTATCATAATATCAAGCTAACGCAATACGCGTGTATTGTTTTTTTATTATCACTTAAAATTTTTAGAACCATTCTGATTTGGATTGGAAGGCTGTGTTACATACACTCATGTCCATAAATTAAGGATAATTCAGAATCACACAGAAATTGAACTCTAAAATAAAAATTTCACCTGTAGAATTATCACACACATCTTGAAAAAGGATATGCAAATTACAGGAAACCACCAGATGGCTAGGATAGTACGTCACAATGACGAGAGTGTAAGAGAGGGGTACATAAGGAATGGTGGCAAAGAAGTGAAATTGTTCACAAGCGCTTTAAAAGCCTTTCAGTGCAATAACCGCATAGTTATGGCACAAAGGAAGCATTTGGATGATTTTTTACGTGGTAGAATTATTGGACGACTGGAATGTGAACGTACCCAGCTGGAAGTATCCGAAGAACTTGGAATAGCTCAGAGTGTCATCTCCAGGCTTTGGCAACGATTCCAAGATGATCGTAATGTGAGTAGATGTTACAGCACAGGTCGCCCCAGAGTTACAACGCCGAATGAGGACCGGTATATATATTTGGCAGTTACTGCCAAAAGAAACAGACGGAACACAGCATCAGACCTGTCTCGTCAGATCTCTTCAGCTACCGGTACGACAGTTTCAAGGCAGACCGTGTACAGACGCTTAGGGCACATTGGTCTATATGCTCGAAGGACTGTCAGATGTGTTCCACTTACCGCAACTCACTGTCGCCTGCGATTAACCTGGAGTAGAGAGCAAGCATTGTGAACACCACAACAGTGGTCTTGTGTGATGTTTTCCGACGAGTCCAGGTTTAGTTTGCAGTCTGATTCTCGCCGGACTTTAATATGGAGAGCACCAGGTACCCGTTACCACCAAGAGGATATCATTGAACGACACCGTTACGGTGGTGCAGGATAGCTCGTTTGGGGAGGAATTATTCTTGGTTCCAGAACTGACCTGCATGTTCAGAGTGTAACGATGACAGGCCACATACATCGGGATGTCATTCTGGAACAACATGTACGTTTGTTTCGAGGCGCCACGGGTGCTGAATTTCTGCTTACGGATGACAACGCCCGTCCTCACCGTGCAAACATTGTAGACGAATGCCTTCAATCAGAGGATACCACCCGTATGGACTGGCTAGCATACTCACCGGACTTGAATCCAATAGAGCATGTGTGGGATGTGCTTGGCCGACGAATTGCAACCCGTTAACCCCCTCCCACCTGTCTACCGGAACTTCGGAGGGCATTGTTTGATGAGTGGTGAAATATTTCTCAAGATCAGATTGATAATTTGATATTTAGCATGCCTAGGCATTGTAAGGCCTGTATTGCATCGTACGGGAGACATACTCCGTATTAACCATAATACTAACCATGTTATACTGTTTTTTGGAAATAGGTTCTTTTTTGAAATTTGCTCCAGGGAGTAAAAATCGCAATTTTTATTAATTATGTCAAACATATAGCATCTTTTTTGCTCTTTACCTTTTGTTTAATAAATAGACTTTACAAATAAATCAAATTTGTTTTGCTTCTGTGTCTTTCTTTGCCGGAACTTCATTACCCTTAATTTATGGACATGAGTGTATAATTGAATTATAACAAATTAGAAAATACAACACACATTTTTGTACACTGATTACGTCTAAAATAATACCTGCAGAGGTAAATGATTTGGTGCGTACGATTGTGAGATCTATAGAGTTCCAATCTGTGCTATGTCAAATATTCATCTTAATCTTAGAGCATATGTGCTGCAATGAAAATTCTCAAAGGGCCTGTATTACAGATTTTCACATTGTTGAAATGTAGAGGCTTTACACAAGATATTCCCCCCTCACGTTGAAATAACTGTACGGAACAGATTCAGCCTCGCCGGAAATCACATATTCTGTACCCCACATAATATTTTTTGTTACTTGATTATAATTAAAATGACAATTCAGCTATTGGTCTTTGAAGACCTTGACTCCTGTGATGTTATAAATCCTGACCTTTACCTTAAAGTTGATGTGTCGAAAGAGTGTGATTCAACTTTTTTTTCAATGATCTCAGATTTGTTTTATCTATCTTCTTGGTCAGATGGAAGTGCCACACAAGAAGTTGTTTGTT